ACCCACTGGTGCTAGCCAAGGCAACACTTCGCTGCACTTGAAAGCTCTTGGAAGAGAATTGTTTTCTTGCTTCTCCTTTCTCCTTTGAGTGTCTTGCTTAACTAAAGCCAGAACTTTGTAAGAATCGTAGCTGCTACTGAGGACCTCCCCCCACCAGAGATCCCATAGGGCAAAGATTTCAGTGTCAAGGTGGACTAAATGCTGACAAGAGTTCAAAAAGTTATAAAGTAGTCACCAATGAAATTCGACTGCAAACTGGAAGGCAGCTTCTGGTTTTAGAAGTAAGGCTTCGAGCATCTCTCTAAATGGTGCAGCAGAGACAAGGGTCCTGGCTACTTTAAGATGATCCTCAGCAAGGTTACAGAGAGGGGTGTATGACAGGCTAGATGACTGTGTAGGAAGGGCAAATTGTCATAGTAGTCAATATTTTGCTCTTGTTAAGGGGAGGAAGTGTTTGCTGCTCAAGTCAGCGGCAACTTCAGCAACTTCTTGGTTCATCACTGCCATGCTTTGAAGGTATGCAAGCTGTTTTCCAGGATCACAGTTCCTGTTCTTCCCCAATATCACTCTATAACCATTGCTTCTTCTCCCACTGTTGGTTCTGGTATTTGCTGCTGAGGTCTGGGCAAGTTGTTTGGTATTTTTTCCTTTCAGTAACTGAAGAACTCTCCTCTGAGCTCACCCTTACCAGCAGACTCCAGGCTGAGGCAGGGAGGCTCTGGCTGTTACAGGCTCACAGTGAAGTTGGTGGGAAAGATCACAGTTTAGGATTTCAGAAAGGCCTTTTTGCTTTGCATGCAACATTCTATGAAGGGATGCACCTGAAGTTTCCTTTTTCCTCTTTTTTCTCCCCTCTTCACTACAGAGTTTACAATGGAAGATGAACATATTAAGTTCAAATCTGCTTCCCACACTCCTTCCTTGCCTTCCCAAAGGTGCAACCTGGGACAGATTTCAGTCTCAGCTAGTGATGCTGGGATTGTTACTGTGATTGCTCAGTGTCTCACCTCACTAAACTACTTCTACCTTTTTTTTTCCAAAAAATGTTTATTGTGGAGCCTGGTGCCAAAACCTTCAGCATCATGGTAAGGTGTCATTGTTTAACAAACTACTCCTCATTGTTTCCATTGAAGAATTATGCTGTGAGATCCATATTTTAGGAGGCTGGAGCAGTAAGCTGAATAATACAATAAGCTGTATCACTTAATTGTGTTACAAACTATCCCAAAGAAGTCATTGCCTGTAAATAAGTAGTTTTGTAAAATCATTGCTAAGTATTTCTGTGTGCTTGTATGTTCTGGAGCCTGTCTAAATCATGTTAATGTTTGCATTGTCACAAATACAATTTACAGTGGAGAGTCTCAGGAGAACCCGAACAGTGATGGTTAAGGTAGGAAGCCAAACTTTTCCCACAACTTTATTAATGTGGAACAAAAAGGCACAGTAAAGGGGTGTTGTTTGGGGAGACCACCTAGCTAGGTATTGGATTTAGGGGGTGACATAGGTGGAATGTTGAGAAGCTCAGCATGAGCCAGCAGTGTGTGCTCACAGCCCAGAAAGCCAATTGAATCCTGGGCTGCATCAAAAGGAGTGTGGCCAGCAGGTCCAAAGAGGTGATTCTGCCCCTCTGCTCTCGTGAGACCCCACCTGGATTACTACATGCTGTTCTGGTGTCCTCAACATAAGAAGGGCATGGAACTGCTGGAGCAAGTCCAGAGGAGGCCCATGCAGTTGATAGGACTGGAGCATCTCCCCTGTGAAGACAGGCTGAGGAAGTTGGGGCTGTTCAGCCTGGAGAAGAGAAGGGTGCGTGGAGACCTCATAGCAACTTTTCAATATCTGAAGGGACTACAAGGGAGCCAGAGAGGGACTGTCTGTTAGGAACTGCAACGACAGGACAAGGGGTAATGGGTTCAAACTGAAGGAGGGGAAGTCTAGGCTGAATGTGAGAAAAAAGTTTTTTACTGTAAGGTGAGACATTGGAACAGGATGCTCAGGGACGTGGTGGCTGCCCCGACCCAGGCAGTGTTCAAGACCAGGATGGATGAAGCCTTGAGCAACCTGGTCTAGTGAGAAGGTGTCCCTGCACATGGCAGGGGGTTGGGACTAGATGATCTGTAAGATCCATTCCAACCCTCAAATTCTATGAATCTATGTTTCTAAATAAAATAGCCTGAATGTGAAGAGGAAGCAGCTGCTTGTGAACTACAACTGGTATGTGGGCCAGTTGTACATTTTATTACCATCAGGGCTAAAGCAAAGTAGCATACTACAAATTCTCCAGTGAACACAGGGTCATGAGATATGAGCAATGCTGAAGAACCTGCTTGTGACTCATCCTTCTGCTTACCGATAGCTTGGATTGGGAGAACATGGTCCTGGTAGCTAAAGAGAAGGGCCTAAAATCACAACAGACCCAAAACAACGGTCTGGGAAGAAGGTTAAGATGTTGGCTGGAGGAAAGATCCTGGAAGTGAGGGCTCTGCAGGGAGCTGCATTCCAGGAGATGGCAAGGGCCCTTGGGCAATCCCACCATTGGCTTATTAATAAACAGCTCTGTGTCCCAGAGGAAGACAAAACCAAAGCCCTTTGCACACACAGATGAGAGACAGAATAATTGTACATACTGTCACTAGTGGAAAAGAGTCTGGGTTTTTCAAATTTTTTTAAAACTTTTATTTATTTTTTTTTTTAGAAAAGGAATAAACTCTGCATGGTAGAGTGTATGGTATATAATTTCAAAACAGAACAAGTGATACGGAATGGATTATCTTCCCAAACCATTTAAAGTTGAACCTAAAATCATTTGTAAATCAACACTCATTGCCATGTAAAACAAAGAAAACAATCAACATGTTTTTCGTTTGGTACAGATTTTCTCTACCACTTCAGCCTGAATTTTCCCAGGATTGGGGAGTAAAAGGGGCCAAATCCTGCCCATTGTCCAAATCATAATTGTACTGACCAAGCTTTGTGCTCTGAGATCTAGCATCATATGGCTTTATATGCGTTCCTAAGTGAACAGTGCAACATCATCACCACCTTAAGTGTTTATTCCACATTCAAACTGTAACTGAACATCAGTCTGAAACCCTTTTCCGCCCCCAAAACAACAACAACGAAAAGCAGAAAGTCTCCAGCAATCAGATTTCTTCTCAGAAATCTGTGTAAACTGTAGATCAGGGTTGGGTAGCAGCACAGAAGACAAAAGATGTGACACCATGATTCAATAGCGTCTCTAAAGACTACTGTAAGACTGTCATTCTTTAGTCTGCATCTTGCAATCACAATTTTCCTTTTCCCTGCAGTGCTATAAAGCAATATAAGAAAAAAAATCAGACTCAAAAGCAAAAGGTAGAAGCTTTTATGAAAGGTAAAGCTTCTGCTTAGCCATGAGTGGTTGTTATTAGAAACAGATCTCTGCAATCAGAAACAAATCTTGAACATATATACACAATTTCAGTGGAAAGGGATACAGCTAAGGATGGAAGCCGTCCTAGCAGACCCACAGACTGTTTGGGCTTGTAGGTCAATACTACACTGCCTTTTGGGGCTGAAATAAACCAGCAGGGCAGCCATAGGCTCCAGGCTCTTGGCTCCTCTGTTCCTTGGCTGTGTGGGGGCCGGGAGGAGGTGGAGGGAGTAGCAGTGCCATCAAGGGCCTCCCTCCTCTCACTTCGCAGCCAGCCGAGTGATGAGTGGGTTGCAGTGACATGGAGCGTTGCACTGGGCAGTTTTAAGTGCACATTTTTACCCCCTCCTCCCCAATCCTGTTGGAATGTATCTATATCAGTAATCAGGTAAGTATCAATAATAACTGTAAGCTAGCACAGTCACCTTCCCCCTTAAAATGGAGGGAGAGCAACAGCATCAAACAAATTCCCATTTGTCCTGACTTGTGTAACCTTTCCAGATCTTGCAGAGCAATCGCATGCAGGCGTTTTTCATACTAGACTTTAAAAGAGTCGAAGTTGGTAAAGAAACTGGATGTTTCCTGGCCTAACTGAAGGAAATGATAAAACTGATTAAAGAGCAAAAGAAAGTAAGCATTAGTGTGTTTACATCCTCTGGTATGTCCCACTTCTCTACGTTCTGCTCACAAGCCCTTTCCATACTCTGAGCAAGCACTCCCAAACTTAGAGAGGTAAGGCTTCAGCTAAAATCTCACAGTTGATATTACAATCTGTTTTATATAATTACCACAAATGTAGGAATGTGACTTTAGCAGATCCATGTGGGGCACATTGAGGGCAAGGCTTGTTAAGTGAACCAACACAGGAGAAGAATGGACAGGGATGTATTCCCACAGGATAACAGCAATTGAACAATGTCTGGAAGCATGGTACTAGCTTAGTGTGTATGTAGCACTGGGAGCCTGGATGAAGCCCTCAAGCTTTCTGGGTGTCCAGTCAGAACCAGGGAAGCTACAAGAAGTTTTACTGTAAAACTCCAGTACTGAAATGTCTAAAGGAACTGGATCTTTAACTTCAATGGGCACAGATTGTAGGTTTTACACAGTCAATTCTAGTAAAAACCCAAAACTTTAATGGCTGATGCCCCTGCGGTTGGAGCCTTAAGACACCCGTTATACTGCTGAGCCCTACTCATTTATTTTTTTTATAAAACACTGTTTTAAGATAGAGCACAATAAATGTGCTTAGTACGCACTCTAACATAGAGCACAGAAATACAACACTACAGAGTGCAAGTCTAACCATCTCCACAGTGGGAAAAGTGCGAAGGTTAAAAATATGCATGTGGCTTAACACAAGATATTTTTAAAAAACATGACATGGAAATCTCATACTAATGCTTTTATCTTTATCACAGACATGACTGAAAACTTAGGGTCAGTTGCTGATCCTTCTCTCGTAGTAGTAGTAGTGTAATCCTTTCAAAGGTACAATGCTGGAAAGATCAGAGAATTAAAAAAACAAGTGTCCAGAAAATGATCCTGTTTACCACTTTTCCAGTAGTTATGTTTTTCAAGAAGTAAACGTGTAAGGTCACCTTGATCTTCACCACTGGTAACTGATACACTTGGAAACAGCTAAGCCAACCACCTGGACTGAGATCAGTTCAGTGTCGCACGCACACACACACGGATACACACACAAACACCCCACAGGAAAAAGTGCACTTTCAATTGCTGATACAAAAATAGATTGGCACATTCTTTTTGACACAGTGAAGACATCTTCTTTAAAAGCTTTTTCACTCTAAGAAGTCCTCTTGGAATTTGCAGCAGGTCTGTAGAAAAAGCGCTATGAGAATGCACTCAGTGGGCTTCCAGGGTTTGTGTGATGGAGAGAGGGGTGGTCATACAGGCTGCCCTTCTAATTTTTGCCTACTTTTATAGCTGTAGTCCCCACAGGTAGGGTCAGTTGCCACCCAGTTTCAGCACGTGAACCATTTACCAACAGCTCAGTTTTCACCTGCTTTGAGAAAGCAATGATACATAAATTTGTCAAAACTGAGAGTCTTTCGTAGATGCAGAGTTTCCTACACATTGCTGGAAAAACTGCTTTGGGGAGAGAGAAAGAGTGAAGTGTTAGAAGTCTGATTTTGCATTTCCAGTAGGAAGTGTGGCTCAGGAGAGCCAAGCGGGAACAGTCGGGAGCCCTTCCCCGCGGGGCAGCCAGCGCTAGGAGTTCTGCACCAAGCGTCTGTAGTGTGGCATCACTTCGTGCTCGGGAAGGTGGAGAGCAAACTCCAAGGCCACCAGCACCGGGAACTCGAAGGCAATCAGCTCTCGCCTGTTCAGCCGGAACTTCTCTTCCAGTTTCTGCAACCACAGCCGAGGCAAAAAACCAAAAAACAAGTGAATGAGGATTTCCCTTTCCAGTGCTTTCCTACAAATGACATTATTTAAAGCACATGTGCTGCTGCCATTAAACTTCTGTCCTGATCAACTTGCATGGCTCTAGGTTTAGAAAATGAGTGCAGGATCAACAGGATGTACTGATTCCTTACTGTGAAGGTGAACTCTCAAATCTCAGCCAGCCATGCTATTTCTGACATGTTCGTCATTTCACTCATACCACTGCCAGCAGATACATCTTCTAATGATCCCAGTGATCACCACTGCAGGAACAGAAAACTCCTGGCTTCAAGCAAACACTGAAGTCACTTGTGTAATGGAAGACATACATCTTGGAACTGCCCACATATTTCCTGCGCTGCTTGAAATCCCCAATTTTCCTTTCGGCATTAGACTGTGTTACAACACCCTATTGGGGAAATTACTTTTGCCACAATTAAATACATTTGATATTAATCCCTCAGAGGCAGAAGGTGTCATCTGCAACAACCGTAAGAACAGTGAGTAATAGAAACTACTATCCTCAAGGGGGATGAGATGTGTTTTATAGTTGGTTTACGGCTGTAACATACTAAACTTCCCATCTGCTCTGCTGTTTTTGCCGGATTTGGATGCTACAAGTAGGCAACCAGCTGTTCTGGGATATTTCTCCCCACCTCATCCTCTTCTTATGATCTTCTTGGATTGCTCCTTCTCTGCCCCACTGGGTCTACTGAAAACCTCAATGTGTTTTATGGACAAACCAATGTCTCAGGATAGCAAGAGAGGTCAGATCTTCCAACACCCACTGGGTTGATTTCTTTCTGTGGTTATTCAGAAGACTTTCTAACAAACTGACTGTCGACCCAGCTGTGACTGTGGGAGGAGGGCATGAACCCAGACCTGCCCACCATCCAAGTTCCCATATCTCTCACATCGAGTGAAGTGGTTGTAGCCATATACTCAGCTGCCTGCCTAACTTTCTGCAGCATTAAATCAGATTGGTATCTCAGTGCTTGCAAAGGAATAACACTCCCCCCCATGTTAACTCTCTCATATGGAGTGGGTAGAAGACCAAACACCTGACTCTACAAAAAACAGTTACAGAGTGAGGTGTTCTAGTGGGAACACATCCTCTAGGTTTCCTTGCTCAAAAGCTGAACTTGATGAAAGAAATACAAATGTGGTAATCTATTAGACTCCATCTGAAACTAGGAGAGTCCTTATTGACAATCTTGAAAACATAATTAAAAGGACAATGAATTTTCTGAGGGTTCACTTTTGACTTGTATTGACAGAATAGTGGTCGACACCTCTCAGATCTCAGTATCTGACACCAGGGCCTTCTATCACATCAAAAGAGCTTCCCACACCTACACAGTGACATTAATCACTACTACTTCACATAAATGTGTAACAGGAAAAGGTATTTAGCTGTCTGTACATCTGGAAACCCAAAGGAGAGTGCCCATTGACAAGCAGGCTCGCACAGACCACACACTGGCACTTCACGCAGAAGGAATGCTGGAAACCTATGGATACGTACATCTATAAGATGCTTGACTTCATGTTTTCTGAGGTCACTGCCAATTTTGGCTGCTAAAAGAACACAAGCTCCAGCACAAAGCTTTCTATTCTGCTTGTTCAGCTTCCCCTTGAGAGCGAGCTTCTCAAAGTAGACAAAGGCCATGGCCACTGTGGGCTCTTCAAAACCACATTCTTCTTGAGCAAGCTTGCGCATTTCTCTCTTCAAGCTGAGTAAAGAGACCAGACAAGCATGCTGTGAACTGAGTTTTAAAGCATTTCTCATTTCACCCTAATAGTCATCATTTCAGAGATTCCTGCTTACTCAGATGGAGGGAAAAATAATGATAATTTACTGGGCAGATATCTTCACGCTTTCTTTTTGGGGCACATTTCACAGAACATTTTGACCTCACCCTTCCCTTTTACTGCCCCCAACAGATAATGTGTCAAGCTATAAAAGCAAGTGGAAAGCTCTGACATTTTTAGTAACATTATTTCATCAGAGGTCTTGTACTGCACAGAATTTGTTTAGAAACACCAGTCTGCTTACTGGTGCTCTATGTGCAGCTTTGCTGCTGGTTATGGTTGGTCAAATACAAACCGACAGTCTTTCCATGGACTGCAGCATTGTCTGGTTACAGAGCAATGTGGCTCAGTATCCTTCTGGACATTTCAGTCAAATGAAATTATCATTATTTCAGTGGAGCAATATGTCTAGCCTGTTACACTGGAAACAGATGAAATACTACAGCTTTGCTGTGAAGCTGACCACTTGTTTTGCTTCTGGCCATGCTTTCTGGACAAGGCACAAAAGTCAGCATTTCTCTTTCCACGGTCTCATTTTAAGCTAAGTGCCATGAGCTTAGACACTGCTGTGTTATTCTTCTGGCTATTTTAGTGTAGCGCATGCCCAGCTCACATCCTCAACCCGTTACATGCCATGTCTGACACCTGACCAGCACATGGTTGTACATTCCTCTATCTCGTTTACTCAGCCCACTAACCAAAGCAATCATCTGACTTACTCTGCACCTCTGCTGGTCATTGCTCCTGGAAGATCAATCAGTGCTGTGCTTCCCCACATTGCGCTGAAATGTGAGACAGCTGCATCACATTGCAGCCTTACTGAGCTTTGCAACATACCTTCTTATTTTACTGAGGGTTAACTTGATGTGAGGGAACTTCTCCTTGAAGGTCTCATTCATGTCCTTCTTGAGATCTGATGGCTTGACGTAGTCTATGACCGTGGTCTGTAACACATGGTCAAGACAGAATTACTCTTGTAGTTTGTAACAAACAAGACCACTCAATTCCCATAAGCAAGGAATACCAAACAAGTGCCAGTCAGTCCCAACGCTTTCATAGAGGGGAAAATTAAGTCTGAATTAAGGCAATAATTTGTTTGCGACTGCTCTGTCAAAACAAATGACCTGTTCAGCACAAGCCTGTAATGAACAATGCACACCTCATTAACAACCTCCAAATACCACTAAGGGTGAGTTTAAGCTAAATGTGGGTGGATAAAACCTACCTGAGAAGTCTTGTTAAGCCAAAAATATTCATAACAATAACTGATTTGATGACCAGATTTTGTGTGCGTATCTCCATGTGGTTCTGAGACATACTGTGAGTTTCTCTCAAACTGTCTCTTCAAAGGAACTGCTGGTACAAATTCCTGACTGCCATAGCATACATTTGAGACAAAACAGGTAACCAGGCTACATGGCAGGTCACTCAGTAGACTGCAAGACAGTAATGCTGTCATAAGTTAGGCAATAAGTGGACAAGAGTCAACACAACATTCAAAGTATACAGACTATTTCCTTTGAGTTTCCTATTCCTTTTTGTCACAACCTAAACAATTTTCCCAGGCAGCAGAGGGTTGTCCCAGCCAATACTGCAAAGCCAGTGCTCACATCTACAGGTGCCCAGCACTTCTCTTGTTCCCTCAGCCTTCATTCAGGTAGTAATTTGCCCAAATCTTCTGTCACCACTCACATGGCTAAAATCTATCACCTGCACAACAAAACAACCTTCATTTTGGGAATGTGCCAGTTCTCTTCTGGGCTTTGGCAGTTCTGGCCCTTGGACAGAGGCAGAGAAGTGCCCCAGCTTGGACAGCTGGGAGACAACCTGGTGCCCAGGCATCCAGCTCCCTGCCAGCTTCAAGCATGGGCAGTGAGAGCAGCAGTGTGCAGTGCATCGCATTATCCTGCCAGTAAAATAGTATTTCCCTTCTAATTTCTGGGTTTTATTAACCTGCAGTACAGCAAAGGGCTGTTACCACTAAACAACAAGAGGTGGAAAGAGGCATGCAAAATGCTTGTTGCATGTTTTGCCTTTAAAGAAGGTGGAGTCTTGCTGTATTATATCCTCATGGGAATCTAAATCATACTAAAGACTGACTGCATATGCTTGCAGGTTTTTTGCAATCATTGAAATAGTATATGGTTCCCATATACTATTTCCCCCATGGCTCAGGGATATGGGAGTGCAATGGCTCTAGACTGCAAGCAGACAGTTCCTGTTATCCCGTCATGTTGTTCTCTGGTTCCAAAATGAGCACGAAGGGAAGTAAAGTTCCTGCATTTTATTTAGGAGATTTGGTAGCAAAGTAATGAAGAATCATAGGAATTTAAACAAAAGCAGAGCATGTGTTTCACCTGAATAGTGCATAGCAGTATTTGAGTTAAACATACAGTAACAGAGAGAAAAAAACCAACTTCTTGCCATGGGGTATTGTTATGGTCATACACCTGTTTTAAAATGTGGGCCATTCTGCTGTCTGATCTGCAGTTCAAGAAGCAAGTTGCTCCCCACTAAGTCCTGGCAGGTAATTCTCCTGGGCATGTCATGTACAACTGCCTGACACTGTTGCAAGTATAAATGCCTGTGTAAGCCCCCTCCAGCACACTTAGGTGTTACACACACTAGTCCAAATTTTGCTTAATAAAGAAAATAGTTTATTAAGGAAATTCAGTGCTATTAAGGAAAGTTTCCTGTTATAAGAAATCAGCAAACAGCAGAAAGCCACATTAATGCTCTTCAGCCACCCCTCTACCCTGCATGTGTATAGATGAGCTTCAGTGCAGGTCCCAGCAGACAGTGCAGTTCCACTGAGGTTGAAAATTCATATGCTGCCTTGATGCTGAGGCAGGCAATGTATTACCACACCTGAATAAAAGGAAGAGAGGAAAAGGCAGGGAGGAGAAACCTTGCCCTATGCTGGATCAGTGGGAAAGGCTTCAATGGAATGTGTGGGTCTGCCTGGTTTTAATCCTGCTGAGGTTGGAAGGACGTACATATGCACTGTGTGGCCATGGCTCTTTACCTCAGTCAACTTCTCACATGCTTCATCCTCCCATCTGGCAGAACTCAGCCCTCTGAAGCAGAAGAATTAAGATCTTACCAACTACCACTTTCCTTTCTTTCCCTGGAATGTCACTGCCTCTCTGTCTACTCCTTGGTTTTGTTGCTGAAGGATCACCAGCAAGCTGGGTGCTTCTGATGCATAGATACTTGGGAGTTTTATCTGTTCCTCTGAGTACTGCTGTAAGGACACGGACACAAACCACATATAATTTAGACTGGTGCCATCTGCTACTCAAGGTACAGAAACATCAGTCCATGCTACTCTTGCTTACAAAGTCAAGAGACACCGAGCACATAAAGGTTACACGCTGTTAAATCCAAAGATGATTTTAGTTACTACCAGTATTTGTTGGTTATCTTGGGCAACCCTAGAAATAGTGAGCTCAGTGTTACTGTGCAAAGCTATGTGACACCTATTTCATGCTTCACTATGAACCTAACTGCCCATTGTTTGTTCTTCATTACACAGAGCAGGTTTATCTTATCTCCCTCGAAGGGGTCCTGGGTTTTCCTAGCCGACTTGACTTTGGCTCTCTCCAGTTTATCATCCTCCCTTGCCCAGAGGAGAATGCAATCACCCACAAATCTCATGTGCACAACAGAAACCACTTCACAGCAGAAAGGGCACAGCAACACAGGGAGGACCTGTCCATCCTCCGAGCTCAGCTGAAGGACTGCACAGAAGTTATGCCAGTCAGCAAGTTTCATTGCTTTCACCTCTAACAAGTAGTTGTCAGGATGACCCCAGCTCTGGGGACAACTGCACAGAGGGGGAGTGAGCCCTGGGCAACGTGACACAGCAGCACCAGCCCCCCTGGGGTGCACTTTTCCCTATGGTAGCTCTGCAGGCAGTGACTTGTTTTACCTGGGACTCCTCCAGCTCACAGGAGATTTGCCAGAATTCAGCTAAATTCTCTTGAGAAGGAGAAAAGCTCTTTTTAAAAATTTCATTTAAAGCAAAGCACTCAAGAGGCTTGAGACTAAGCAGACAGCTTAAAACTGAAAATGGTACAGAGGTACAGCTATTTTTAAATACAGAGATTTGTCAATTTTGTCCTGCTGATAAGAATCTCCTGGCCCCCCCAAACTCTGAATACTGCTGCTTCCTGTGAGACAACAGTCTCTATGATATAAATCACAATAATGAAATCCAGATGAAAGCTGGTGTGTGCTGGTTTTGATTCATGTAACAGGATAACAGCAGCATGTTTGAACACACTGGCTCTAAGGCAGCTGTCTCATCTTGTCAGTGCCATGCTGGAGAGCTCAGCTAACTGCCCTTATTCACAAGAAAAGGATTTGTGCAAGTTCTTTTTTTCCCCTTGATGTTTTTTCCTTCGTAGCTGCTGCAGATGCCTGACTTTGAGCAATGGGATGCTATTTGCCCAGCTAGTGCCTATAGAAATGCATCCTGCGCATGTGGGACCCTGCCCACCAGAGAGGCAGATAGCAAAAAACCCCACAAGAATATCTGTTGAGAGTTAATTTAAAAGTTATGCTAAATTAGCATCTGTTGAGTGATCGAATCAGTCACTCCTTCAAACTGTTTCTGACAAGCACCTGAGCACTCCTCTTGCTGTCACTCTGGGGCAGAACACTCACACGGCTGCATAGAAATCCTGGCCCTTGATCCTGACCCTGCCCAGGGCACCTCATGCCCCCCGTAAATGGCTTGGCACTGAACAGTAACTCCTCACTGCTGACCCTGCCCACAAGGGATGGAGCAAAGGAAACCTCTGGGGTGGCCCAATGACCCACGAGAACTAGCTGTGATCTGACAAGGGAGGGCTTGGACCCAATGTCATCCCTCTCTGTCTGCTCTCTGCTCAGTGTTTATGTTTCTCTTCCATGTTTTAGGCCATGCCATTGCACCTGAATTGCCTGCGTATCCCAAACAAAGCTGCCATGTGGAGGAGAATACAGGACTGTCTGTCCAGGACAATTCTGGCATTGCCTGTGCTGGAGCATTGCTCAATACTGATGCTCCAAATTTTATGAAAGGTTTGCAAATATTTCCCTAAAAGGAGCACAGCTTTTTTCTATCTGAACATGCCTTATTATACATAATATTATTCCCTACTGAGCAGGTACTCTGTACTCCCAGAGCTGTCAGACACATGAGCAAGGCACTGGGAACTACCAAACAGTCTCTCTCTCCAGTTCTTCTAACTTCTAACACTCAGAACTGTCTGTCTTGTTTCTCATAGCTTATTTGCACAAAACGCATTTCAGTTCAGTATTCAGCAATATTCCTTCGGGGGCTCTGTTCATGTTCTCTGTATACAAATCTGTGTATGTATATTTTAGTTTGGTGATGGATGTTGCACAAGACAAATGAAAGCCTTGATATATGGTAGCTGACAGATGCCTGGACAGCATGATGAACGCTTCGGCCCAAGTCTACTCCGCACACTTTTTGCATGCTTGGCAGTTTTGAACTTGGAGCTTAGGTTGTGTGTTATTCACAAGCATTTTCAAGCAGCTGCTTTCTCATAGGAAAGCTGTACATACAGTTTCATAAATATGGGAGGAGAGAGGATGCCTGAAATGGCTGGAAAGACTGGCAGGATGAAATATTGTTGAAAATAAATCCTGCTTTGGCATGCTACCAGTAAAAGATGATCTAGCCTTGGATGCTTCTATCTTCCGCTTAAGAAGGATAAAATCAGAATAAAATAGGTGAATAAAATCAAAGACATACAAAAGGCTCTCTTCAGCTGTTGTTACTGTGACATCTGATAAATCTACTTCACAGAGAGCAGACAGAAGACTGACACCTGAAACAGACTTTTGGTAGGTCAATGGTAAGTTCTCAGCCACATAAGAAAGGAAAAGAAGTCAATGACTCTGCCCTGCCTGGCTACTGTAATGTATACCATAGGTGACCAGCTATGTACTTATTAACTGCCAGTAACCTAATTCATATACTTATGGCTGAAGATGCATATATGCAGGAAATCCTGACAGAGCAGAGGCTTAAAACTGTGATGGAAAATGGTAGTGATTTCTTATTATAATTCTAAAAAACCGAAAAAGGAGAGATAGACTAAAAGATGACATTTCTGTTGTTAGGAAGTTATTAACACTCAAAGATCTTAAACTGAAAGATTTTGAATTTCATAAAGCAAATACTCTCAAAACTGCTTCTTTGAATTAAAGTACGTGGAAGGTCGCCAGTTTATTTTACATTGTTAACACACTAGACTCATTCTCAATTAATACAGTGTGTTGCTGTTACAAAATAGTTGTTTATCAGAGTCTCAGACAAATATAGCATCAAATGCATAGAGCACAGGGTTTAAATATGATTATCTACCACCACTGATATCCTCTGCTCCCTGAGACTCTTGGGTACAAGGTCAGCAGCTGATAAAAAGCAGTCTGGAGATACTTATTTTACAGCGACGGAAGCAGCTCAAAGAATAGGCTAAGAGCACCGAAGGACGCTGACTGTAGTGGAGTCCTCCTGACCTTGATGCTTCTTGCGAAAGAGAATGGGGGAGCAAGAGACTAAAGGCATTATATCATCATGTGGGGGTTTTGTTAGACCAAACAGCCAGGGCAGCAAGCAGTTCTAATTTTAAAAATCTCACTGGAGGACTAATATTTAATAAGGCAGCCTGGCTGCACTCAGCACTAGCGCAGTACCTGGCAAATGCTGGCTGACAGGCAGCTGCTGCAGCAGCACTACAGACCTCTGCAATACACTTGTTTTATTAGTGGTGCAGAGATGTCCATTTATTTTGATATAATTAAACCAATACACTGAAATCGTAGTTCAGTACCCAAACCCAGTTCCACGTGTATACCCTGAGCACAGAGAGATGGGTATTTCAGGGATGTTATTACAGAAGGGTCACTCAAAGTCAAGGCGATCTGGTCCTTTCGTCTCTTGCTGCAAGTTTTGGCAGCACACAGCAGCCAGCTAACGTGCTCCTGTGTTTCTGCATTGCCCACAAAAGCAGGACTGTGGGGTCAGACTCATGCCTGTTGTGAGTGAGTTTTCTAATTCTGCACAGAAGGAATTTCTGCTGGCAAGAATGCAGGGGGACCAGGGAGGCATTGATGAGTCTGTATGTATGCTAGTCCACATGAGCTTCTAGGAAAGAAATTACTGCTCTGTCTGGTAGATGAAGTCCCTGTTCTAGAGAGATTTAAGAATCTGCAAGAATTCCTGTTTCAGCAGTATCAGCCAGGAAGACATCTGTTAACCATGACACGATGTTTTCCTCCTCCCCTCTTCCCCCCCAGCATGAAATTTTTCTATCTCTTACTGTTTATATTGCAGCAGAGATCGCAGACTCTCCTATAAGACAACAAAAAATGAAATAATTTCTCCAGGGTAGACCAGAGTTTAAATATGACTAACACAATAAATAGAAGCCGTAATGTTTGTGTTTGGAAAGTATTAGAGAATAGTTGCAGAATTGTCCCCTGACAGGCAATTTGTGGGTATTACTTTTAGAAATGCAACAGGGAAATGTAAACCCTTCCAAGCCAGGAACTTCACTGCAAATAAAACCGAACTGAAAGCACTTCTCCTTCCCCTCAGCTACCTTCAAGGAGGAAACTCAGCTCCTCCTTGCACACAGCCGAGGACTTGCAGTTAAAACTCCTCTGCGAGTCAGGGCTAATTTAGCTCAGTAAAAGTACACGACTATAAAGTCAATGTCAGTGATGATAAATTCAAGCGCCACAAAAATGGAGCACATCGAGTGCTAGTTGCACGTACTTCTGAGTAAGATCCAGGATGGACCACACATTTTGTCCCTCTTGTGCCTTGGGATAAAGCCTGCAGTGTTTACTGATTCACAGACCTCAACAGAGCTGTCCCAGTGGAGAAATCCTGGCCTGCAAAGCACAGCCAGGCTCATGGGAGTGATGTCAGTGCATGTAGCTCTATCCCGCAGTCACTGCCGCAGCACAGCATCCACCCCTCTCGCTCACCTTCCCCCCAGTAATTGCTCTGACATCCATAAGGAGGGATGAGGGGAATGTCTACAAGCTTGCAGCTGTCAAGCATTAATGCTAAATGCTGGCCAAGTAACAAAACTTTAATTACAAGCTGCAGCTCTCCACACACAACAAAATGTTGGGCGCTGACATCAGAGCTGCTCTCAGCTGCTCCAGCACTTGTGAGAGGCAGTAATTACAGCAGTGTTCCGCTCAGGACCAGAGGCTGCTCTCAGTCTCTGTTCAGCAGCTTTACAGCTCTGCAGTCATCTGGCAGAGGTCTGTCACTACCACAATGGGTGTGCATGGTCAGGAAAAAACCCACAAGTTTCTCGCTGACCCCAGACTGCAATTTGCTTTAATTGCAGCATATGCTGATTTTTATATTTGGCAAAGAAAATTACATGAAATTGCAGCCTATTATGCTCCTGCTCACACTGATGTGAACTGCAGGGAGAGGGAATGCCAGTTGAGTCAGGAAAGTCTAAAATGGATGTGACTGAAGTCTCCTACATAGCCAATATGACCCTATATTCACAAGCTCTGTGCACAAGCCCTCTCTGCCTGACTAGCAAACTCCTATTTAACCTGCAAACTCCCAGGACACTCCAGCACTACCTTTTCTCCCTTCTCTCAACTGAAGCACCAGCCCCTTGCCAAATCTTTCAGCTGAGCACTGAAGAACAACCACCCACTCTTCAGTTTCTTGTAAAGCTCTGCAGCTCCTGCATGGCATCACCGCTATACTGCTTTGACCACGGGCAGGCAAAATCCTAGAAGAGAGCTCTTGGCACATGCCTGTGATTCCCACCAGCAAAAGAAACACACCACTTAAATGTCCTTCAGCCCTTTCTTAGATTAGTGCCTGTCTTCAGAGAGGGAGACAGGAGTGCTGCAGACCCTCCAGCAGTGCTGAAGAAGTGATATCTGGAAGGCAAATTCAGGCAAAAAAACCCCAAAATGTCAAATAAGAGATTTTTCCAGACACAGCAGTAATTAACCTCTAGAAAAAAAAGAAAGAGCAGGGAGATCCCTGTCAATTCAGATATATTCTAGACAATGACAGTGATTTTAACAATTGTCCTTGAAGTCCATTTTTCGCTTTTAAACTTTCTAGTCATACCTCTGTCACAGTGAAAATCCCCAGTCAGCTCCTTTTTGCAATAGAAGTAAAAGTATAGATCTCAAAAATGCTGTGGTCAACCAGCATATGGAGAAGAAGGGCACTGAACATCCACTCCTGAATGGAAACCTCTCATGTGATGCTATCCTGGCTGCCCTTTTTTGACTCACCCAACCACATCCATCTCAAGACCAAATTGAAAAGGTATCAAAGATCTCAGGTGAATTTAGGGGACTCAGATTGTCTGGTGCACATTTGCAGCCTGAGGAAGGTCAGAAACACAACCAGGACCGCTGGAGCTATGTTCACTCTGGATGTCATCTAGCAATGTCTTTTCATTTGAGCAAAGGCAGTTCCCTGTCCATGGCAATAATCATATCAAAAGCTGACAAGTATTTTCCCACACAGATGTAATGTAAATTATGACAACCATAAAACGTTGCCACTTTGTGGGTTGGCATCCAAAAAATAACTTGCCAACTCTTAAAGGAAAACTGGATGAAAGTAAGCAGAGGGCATTCTGGACTTCCCATTAGAAAACTTAGCACAAACAGCCTCAGAGCTCAATTAAGCTCTATGTGCAACAGGCAGAACACTCCTGCCAGCAAGGAGATAATCTTCAGTCTACATGAAACACTTAAAGTCCATTTATTTTGAAGAAGGAGCACCCAAGAGCAAAATTGCTCCCAGGTTAGGAGCAGTTGAGAACATACAAAGACTGTATCTTTACATACATTAGCAGTTTCTTAAATAATATCTTCTGTTCCAAGTTAAGCAAGGACATGGATAACACTTTAGACCTTGGTGTTTGAAATCCTATTGTATTTCTGTATAGATAAGTGTGCTAAGTCACTGCTTTGGGGGAAAAAAAGAAAGAAGCTTTTCCCTACTGCCTAGTACTACTCTGGACAGATATGTGCTCACGTGTATGACTGCACTGCATCCTGCAACAGCCCTGCCAAAATCACACATCAAAGTCTAAGGACTTGGTGCAACTGAAAAAGGCTACAAAAGTATCTGACACAGAAAACATCGTGTTAGAGCACAGATCAAGGAACAGTTATGGGTCTGTATTGTTAAGCATTTGGATACAGTGACAATTGCTGCAATTAAAGGAAGGACTATCACACAGTGAAATAAACACCTGGGAAACAAAGCTGTTAGGAGTGAATGATAAGCATCAAAACACAGTGCAGCTTCATGACTTCAGAAGAACCCTAATGGGCATCATACTCCTATTTTGTAATAGATGCCAATTCCAGGAAGTCTAAATTTGACTCTGAATGCGAGAGAATGAATGCATTGTTTGAACAAGCCTTTCATCTAAAGCACTTATGAAATATGGCAGTAATAAAAGCGTTTACTTTTGTAATACCTCCACGAGTTTGTTTTAACATGTCCTGGTAAGTAACTGTCATTTAGAACAAAGCATTCGAAATAGCTGCTATTAGTAGGTTAAAAACAGTAACAATCTTTTTAAAATATGGCCAAATGTAACCTCAACCTTCAATATTTTGTTACCAAAATTTATCAGTGCTACACAGAATCACTTACCATATATGAAGGGAATATTAAAACCCGCTTATGTTTGCCACACGGCCACTGGGGATCATCTAAGAGATTTGGGTCATATTCAATCAGGTCTCCCAGGTCGCTACCTATAAAACAACAGTAAATACAAGAAAGGAGTTCATTACATCAAGAAATCTCTGGGCTTAACAGGAGTAGCAAATGAGTTCACAGATAATGCACAATATTAACTTCATTAAAGATTATTGAAAGAGATGAAAAATTGCTCCAAATCTTGAAAACTCTAAGTATTTCTACACTCATGCAATTTACAAAGATAGAGAGGACTTACAGCTTACGAATGACCTGGTAAATGTGAACTTAGGGCTTAGAGAACTGCAAAACTATATAAAGCTCCACAATGGCTATTATTCCTAGCAACAAGTTTTCATCTGTTTATGTAAATATTTTGATTTGTTTCATTTATCATGCCAAAATATCTTAAGCATATAGTGCTTTGGCTTATGCGTTGTGCCTAGTTTTGTAAACACAGCCCTTTCCAGCCTAATAAAGGTCACAAGTGGAATTTACACCTTCAGCTTATGACTACTGTGCTGCCACTGTAAATGGATCGTAATGATGAACCTGATGCAGAAGGCACAAACAATGCCAGTGACAGGAGGAGGCATGCTGAGTGCCATCAGGGGCTGTCAATACGACCAGCATGCTTGTTTACTTAACTTTCCACCATCCCTAAGCAAGCTTTGCTAAACAAATACGGAATGAGCTGTGTTTCACACATGACATGAGACCATGTTTTGCTTAATTTAAGCTAAAAGGGTGACTAAAACACATGTCAATCCTTTGCAATAACTGCCTATCAGCAGGGTACCCAAGGACATGAAAAAAAGCTTCTTGAGAAGTTACCTGCATCAATGCTCCCCTGGGTGCTGTTAGCTCTTGCCAAAGAAAGGCTACGATGGCTTGCATTGCGAAATTGGGAGAAAGATGAGGTGGAATCTATTGTGTTTCTCCGAGTTCCCAGAGCATTCGTGGGAAATAGGAACTGTGTATAAGAAACCGTCTGAAAAGAAAGTCAGAAGGGACTGACAGTTACTTTCAGCCCAGCTCAGCCACAGTGGGATGCCTCTGGTGCATCCCAATTGGAAGCAAGAGACATCAAATTAATGGAGGATTTTCTGGATTTAGTAGTTAGACACAGATGAATAAACACCAGTCACCTACATTTGCTTCAGTGCAGTCAGTTTATCCATGCAAAAAATGCTTTTGCAAAGGCATTAATTCTTCAGCAAAACAAACATACACACAAGGTCTTACACACTGGATTTACAAAATCCTACTCAAGGGTCAGATTTAAAAATATGTCAGTTTGTTCAGGTTTTTTTCAGTGGGCCTTCTCTGTAGCGTATTTCAGCAGCTACTTTACTGAACTAGCATCATCTATGTGGGTCCCTCAGCACACAGCTGCCAGAGGCAAATCACTTGAACATTGCTAAACTTAAAGCACTTTGCTATTTTTCTCCTTTAGGACTTTGTCTGGCAGAGTCTTATTAGTGTATTAAGTGAGGTCCAGTTCACAGCAATGGTTGTGGGAGATCACTGTCTACCTCCCAACATGGACTAAGTGTGAATGAATAACTTGTGACAAAATTATTTTCAGAGTGAAGTGATTCTCTGCTTGTACCCTTGGCCAGGAATAGGCTATGCCTTGCTTCCTGTCAGTTTATTTTCCAAAAATAACATTGTATTGAAGAAAAAAAATGAGTCTCAGACTCTAGACTGGTTTATGAGGAGGTCAGAATACGTATCATATAAAACATGTGAGCTTTCATTTATTTACAAGCAGACAGATAGTCCTCAGGAATTTGCAGCCTGTGGTTTGGCCTGACACCTGGCTAGGTGAGCACACCGTGTTAAGCAGCATTGACCTAGGGCCTTTTAAATCCATATAAGAGAGCAGACTTGGTAAACTGAACTGCAGAAAGCAAATCAGGCTTTCAGCAAGAAATGTTTTAAGTTATGATTAGAACTGTCTCTCCTCTACATACTTTTTTAAATGGATCACTTCCCTAAAGATTCATAATTGCTTATTCTTTTCAATGGAATGCATTCTTGGATTTTGAAAGACTCATCAGATTTGTGCTACAACCTTCCTGCTCTTTGGAAAACTATATTGTTAAGCAAAATTTTATTAAATACACTTGAAAGCAAACCGAATTACAACTTCGAACTCTCAGAAATTATCTTCAAGCTCCTGACAATATACTCTGCAGTGATACCTCCTGCCAGAGCCAGGGGAAAGCTGTAATTCAGTAATGCTTTACAAAATCAGATATTGCCAGAGGCAAATTTCTTCAAGGATAAAGTTGTTTGCATTGACAGCTTGGGCAGTCCTCATGAATTTGTGCTAAGCTTATTTAGAGTTGCACATACTGTGCTTTAACTACTGTGTTACACTGCATGTTATCATTTATTTTTGTGCTTGTTATTAGTTAAGCCATTTTTTCCCTTATGACATAAAATCTAAGGGAGTAGGAACTGAAGCATCCCCACCTTCCCATCTGCTCCGAGCTCCACACCTTCAAGACCAATTATCTCTTTCAGACACACTCCAGTAGAATGGCACTGGCGTCCACCATCCAGCTTCATATCCCTGGGAAACACAAACCAGAGCAGAAACGTCTCTAAATACACTTGCCTTGCTCACCTTCCACCACGCAATGTTGAAAAAAGGTGCAGCTTTAATCCAAACATGCCAATGCAAAGCAGAGACCAGATAATGATTCCCATGGGTAGCACTTGTGCTAAAATACATTACAGAGAAAACCCCCACTTTGTTCCAGGTTGCAGCTCATACCCCACCTATGGTGCAGAGCAAGGTTCCCCATCATTGGGTACCTCTGACAGAGCCTGGTACTGGGAGGGAACTAGAAGTCATAGACACTTCAGGGGAGATCCAACAATCCAGCTTGAACACTTGACTGCCAACGTATGCAGCAGACGGATGCTCCCAGACCACATACGCACGTTCCCTTATGCCGTGTGTGAGACAGAGGTAATTGTCTGTGAAAGCCTCTGGGAGGGATTCCTGCTCCTCTAAACCCAGGAGTGCCCAAAGCCCAGTGACCCTACTGCTGGAGGCTGACAGCAAAGACCCAGTTTTCCATCGCCTTGGGATGGAAACTTGGGGATCTACTTTAGAATGACTGACCCACGTAACACCTTACACCTGGAGTTAAATGAAACGCCTGAGACAACCAGGCTGTATTCCACCCTTTAGGCATATGATCAAAATGTGAGGAAAGATAAAAAAGACTATGAGCAAATTTGTGTTCCAAAAATGACAGCTCTATACAACTTCAGAATATTTATCTTGCAGTATTTTCCTGGCTGATTTCCACGGAGGTCCAAGTATGTGCTTAAAAATCTGTGTGGAAGAGATGCTGACGCTGAGGCAGGGAGAAGCCCTGCAGGCTCTTCACCCAATTGCATGGCTGGGCTATCTCCTGCTGCGTCTCTGCACACTCTCTTTTCTTGTCTCTCCTTTCCAACCTATCACACATGCTGTTTCTCTGAAACCTGGCAATCCCAAGTCCCCAATAAATCATGTACCTTACTGCTGGAAAAATCCAACACGTCTATCTGCTGGAAAACATACTCTGGTGACAAAGGAAAAGACTGTATCAAGTTTCTATTCCCAACAAAGTACTCTTAGTTTCTTGACTGGAGTTCACTTAGCACAGTGTCATATTATCATTCTTGTTTCCTGATATCATGTTACTGAGGGGCTGGACAAATAGCTATGTAAAAATAACCGTCTGTCAGAAGCATGGTATTAGCCTCTCTTGCACAGAAAGTGTTTAAAGGAACTATTTCTCATAGAGATAAATGCCAAACAGTAACCATTTTGGAAAGTCTTATCTATGAAACAAACACACAACCTGAAGAAGTCCCTGAGCCCAAAAATGAAAACAAGTATTTGAATTAGCTGAAATATCAGAACAGTTTTGTTTCCTTCCATTTAAAACCTTACAAACACAGAACAAGAAATAATGCCGTTACAACTTTGAAAACAAGTCACAGAGACATTTTTCCATGCAATTAACAGACAAGATAGATAACTCCGTAATTCATCAAATGGAAATCCATCACCCTTTGAAGAGTCAGCACAGCAGCTTTAAAAAACAAAGAGCAGCTCTGGGGAATGAAAAGAAATCAGTGCTCTGGAAGCAGGGAGCAGGGTCCGCTGGCACGTGTGAGCACACACAGGAATGATTCCTGGACATCAGATGAAGGTCGATGGACATTAATGCTTCCATTTTCCCATCTTTCTGATGTTTCTAGAGAAGACTCTCCTTTCAGGACCCTATGAACAACACTGCATTCATTCTGCCTTATCCTAGCTGTTTCGCAAGGGCTGCTTGGGGTCTTCCCCTCTTTGGCATATGCTCTATATTTCTAGGTAGTATCTGATTGCCTGTGTTGTAAAATGGAGTAATAAAACATTACTGTCTGCAGAGAAACTTTTCCATAAACCAGAGAATTAAACTCCCTCTCATGAGGAAAAACAGTGCTAAACAATGCACGGTGTCTTATGAACAAATAAATGGAAAGGCTCATCCTGGCTTATACACATCCTCCTCTCACTCATAAAAGATC